CCCCAAAACCCCAAAACCCCAAAACCCCAAAACCCCTATGTAATAATAAAATCTTGAAACTACTATAATTATATAAAAATTCACAGAAAAATGTAGGTTTTGATAGTCTTAAATCGTAAGATAGAAGTAAATGGATCGAAAGAGCTATTACCCCAGTTCTCATTCAAGTAATCCTCCCCAAACCCACATGCAGAGTAAAAGAAGACCACAAGATTATCAGAATTATCGTCAAACAGAGATGGGATATCAACAAGAGGAAATTAATCATAGTCCAGATTTTTAGACCAAAGGGAAATCTCTATCAGGATACTAATATACCTGGAAGGAATACTCAAGTTCAATCAAGAAGAATGAAAAACCCAGAGTATGATGCTTCAGTTCCAGGAAGAAGTTCTCACATTATTAACTCAAGGCCTCAATACGAAGAGATGGTAGATATAGAACCTGAAAGAATTATTAGAAGATCTGAAATTGACCGTAAATAACAACCCAATGTTTAATTCATTCCAGAACTACACTAGAGAAATGCTCGACCCTGAGGTGTCAGTGAACCAATCTTACTACCAGCCTTCAAATATTCCTCAATGTGAGATCTCAGTAGGCCAAGAAATGTACGAGAACTCAACATTGAACCAAAGTATGGGACTAATTAAAATGTCTTCACAGATAAGTAAGAAGAGCAGTATTCAGGAATATGAGCATAATCCAAAATATTCGGAGAATGGTCATCGGGTTTACCAGAATAATGCGCTAAGAAGCCCAGAAGTTTCTGTTGAACAATTTGTGGAGTATCAAGGAGCCCATCATGGGCATAGTCAGACTCAGAATTACCATCCCCAGGTAGAAAGAGTCGGCCATAATTTTCCTCCTAAGAAGATTGTCAGAGAACAAAGGCAGCCTCCAATGGGTAAGATACGGAGAAGATATTTCCTCTCCTAGATGCAGGCTTTATAATTGACATTACTTACCTTATCACTTATAGAACTTCAAGAAAGCCGAGAAGAAGAGCACCATCAACCAGAAAAAGAGCAGTCCAAGCGACCTGACATAATAAACAAGGTTGTCATCAAACCTTCTGAGAGAGAAGAAGAAAAAGTTGCAATCACAAAGATAGAAAATGTTGATGATCAAGTTCTAGTCGGTGCACAAGATGAAAATCTTGGAGCTATCGAGACCCCTCAAAAAGATAAAGTACACAGTAATGATAACAACGAGGAGGAAACTAATGAGAACTTTAAAACTGTTCCAAGGAATACACATCAGATGCATACGAATGCTGCTGATGAAATTCCAATAACCGCCAAAGTTTGTAGTTTCGAAGAACTTCTTGCAAGAAATTTACAGAATGAGGATGAAAATGAGGAAGGAATTTTCGGGAAATCCGTCTCAAAACCGGCCACTAAATCTAAACCCAAACTTAAACCAAAGCAGAAATCAGCAAGGGATGATAGTGTCAAGACCCAGAAGAGGTCAGATGCAATGAAAAATACTCCTTTAAAACAAACCTCAAAAGATATCGGAGAGATGTCTTCAACTTTAAAAATCAGCAAGTAAGAACTAATTGTTATTTTCAGAGAATTCTTGTCCCCTGATGACCGAAGGAACACTGAAGAAGTTGAAAAAATGACCTCTCAACAACAGAAAGAACCAGTCAAGACCTTTAAAATGTACCTCGCAGACGAAGGCTTCACTGATTCTGATGGTAATCTCACTAAAACCAACATATAGAATCAGAGGAAGAAAATGTAATTGAAACCCACTTCAACAAGCTTGACCCCGACCTGAAGCTTGAAGTCTCCAAACTAATGGCTAAAATAAAGCTCTCACGCAAATCAAAGCGTCAAAAGAAGGATGAAATTCATGACAAAATCAGTGACATCAAAGAGCAGATTGTTGTCCAAAGCCAGTATAAAGCTGACGTATTAAACCAGATTGAAAAGATGGTAGCAGACTTTAAAATAGAGAGACAAGAAGTAACCCTCTTCATAACCTGTAGAAAATGAACAAACTAAAACAAACTGATAAAGAGCTTAACAACTTGCGTGAACTAGCCCATCTAAAGGAAAAGAAAGCCCTTTTCGAACAGACTCTAAAGACCCTGAAGGATGATAATAAATAAACTGAAAGAGCTGAAGCTCAAGCAGAAGAGACTTAAAGACCAACAACGGCAGGAGGAAGAACAAAGAAAGATAAGAATTAGAGAAGAGAAAAAGCAGAAATTACTGGAAGACAAACAAAAGCAGCAGGAGTTACAAGAAAAATCCAAGCAGAAAACCTTTAAGATAAGAAGGACCAAGGAAGAGAGAAGAGCCCTTGGTAAAAATAAGTATGGGGGCATTAAGAATTATAATATGGGTTCTGACAAGGATAACGAAGAGTTCAGAGTCAAATCTTACAAAAGCGAAAAGTCTAGATCCTCTGAACAAGAGCAAGACGAAGATCAAGAGGAAGAAGATACTTCTGATGAATACTGCCTATACTTACCTCCTGAATACCATAATGATAAGGAATGGAATGATGATATTAAGAAGCAGCTAAGGAGCAAAGATGGGAAAATTCAAACTATCTATACGAGTGGAAAGATAGAAGTAATTTTCCCACATAATAAAGTAACGAAGCAGATCTTCCCAGACGGATATACTATAGTCTACTTCTTGAATAAAGATGTGAAACAGAAGTTCCCTGATGGTAAACAAGTGTACTATTTTGCAGAAGTTGAGACTACACAGACTACTTTCCCTGATGGCCTTCAGGTTTTCAGGTTCAACAATGGGCAAATAGAGAAGCATTTCAAAGATGGAACTAAAGAAATAAATTTCCAAGATGGCTCAAAGAAAATAATTACAGAAGAAAAAGAAATTAGCTATATGCCAGATGGATCAATACATACACTCACGCAAGATGGGATACAAACTATTGAGAGTCCTAATGGAGAGAAAGAGGTTACTTACCCTGATGGGCGAACTGAGCTGTATTCTCCAGATGGGACAATAGAATCGTTGTAAACAACGGATCTTGAGATTAATAAAAAATCAAATTTTCATTAGTTTTTACTTCAAGTATCATTGATTTTAAAATCACAGATTGTAAAGCTTTACAAACATTAACTATGTTTCAATCTCAATGCTCATAATCGGGGTTTTGGGGTTTTGGGGTTTTGGGGTTTTGGGGTTTTGGGG